AATGACATTATTCATTTGAGGGTAGCTGATACGGGCGAATTCTTGTGATAAGTTCCATCGGTAGAGAAGCGGGTGAGTTCCCGGTGGATGACCTGCCTTTTTTACTCTGAGAGAGATCAATGAGTGTTCACTGTGCTTACCTCATCACCTCTGTCAGCTGTAGATATTGATTCGAAGCAGCAGATTCGCAATATCTCGGAATTGTACTCAAGGGAGACGTGTCAGCAATTTGAAACTCAGTTTTTTTTAAAGAATGAATAGAACCGTCTGTTACATTTTGTCATTCCCCTACATTGATCTCTCATCTCGTTGTTGTGAACATAAGGGCATAACTTTACAAAAACCAGATTTCGGTCAATCAAAACTTATTGGAAAATAAATAATTTTTCAGGTCTGTGACTCTAAACCCATAGTTATATACGTAGTTGTTTGAATGATTCATGGTTCGGGGTACCAAATACAGCAGATGGTAGGCAGTTTAATTCCAACGCGTTTCACTACACAGACCGCCGCATCATCAGGGCTGGACTGAGTACAACTGACTGCTGACTGTTTGAAGGCATTAATGTCTAACAATCGAACAATGCCAATTTTTCATTTGCCTCATTGTATCGTAGCAATAAACGTTTGGAAATTTCCCTTCTGTTTGGAAACATTTGAGTCTTTAAAATATGTACGGATCAACTTTCAGAAGTGTTTCATATTGGTTTCCCGAGAGCCGGACATTGGGCGCTTTTTGAGAATTGGTTCAAAATAAAAAAAAAATAACAATAGCAGCAGTTGCAATACATCCAAGTCCTCACTTCGTGTTCTCGATGTTTAGTTTCGAACTGTTTGTCGATTTTTAATAAGTTGTATTTCGACTAGCAGACAACGACATCTTCCTGCAGTCATAACACTTAAATACGAAAAGCTCGCGATGGGATGTCATCACGTTTTCTATGATCGACATGACTTCGTTCATTTTTATCACTGCTGACCGAAAATTTGCTAACAAGAGGTGGAGTGGATATTTCAAATGTCACAGTATTTTACACATTTGTCATTTTGATACAACTTATGCCGACCAACGAAAGGTCACAAAGCTGTAAAAATATCACTGGAAATAGTTGTTGTTTTGTCATGAATAAGGAAACAGTACCAGTTGAAAATTCAAAAGCAAATTCTCATTTGGTAACAGCGGTCAGGCGGTGGGTGGTGCATAAAGAGGGACAGGGTCAAAACGACATCGCAACCGAACCCAAACGCCAACGTTTTTTTTTATACTAATAAGCGTGTGACTTAGAGAAGCTGGATTTCGCGGTATATACTGCCTTGTCACCTTTCCCCTTCATATCTGAAACCGACGTTTACGATGCTACTTGAGATTGATGAATGACAAAATAACAAATATCTCAGTATAATCAAATCCGATTAGACCGTTTGATTCATACTGTAGCTAGATTAGTGGCTTACGTCTGTAGAGAGAGCTATATTTTGAGCCAAATTGTCTTATCATATCGATAAATCATGTTTCACATGTTATTCAGTCATTCATTAGTCAAAGAGTCGTAAATATGGTTGCTATACATTTCAGAACAATGGAACAAGACTACTCTGTAAAATCCAGTTCTTGCAATAGTTATGCACTTATTAGCGTATTCCAGCCGACACTGCCATAGTTTTAGTTATTTGTTCAAAGTATTTAGGAAGTATCAGGTCACGAAACGTCGTTGATTATGAGTAGGTTCTGACTAACAAAGTAGTGCGAGATACATATATTATGGTTACGCAAATGCCATGGATGTATACGCGAGGGAACGGCGCGATAGGCTATAAAATTTGATTTTCAAGGAATTTGGTGGTTCTTATTCTAAGATGATAGCATTCACAACGATGGGGTGAGATGAAGCCTCAGTCCATAGTTACATCCTCTTCACTCATTTTTTGGGTTCCAAATATCGAATACGACCGAGTTTTACCTTGACTGCAACCTTTGCTGATTACCTGATCCTCATAATTTGAACTTCAGGTTGAACTTATGAAAAATACGGCCTGACTGAAACTCCGACCATGGTTCCTTAGTTTGTAGAGCGTCATACTATTATCCGAGAGTTCAGATTGGTAAATTATTACAACTTTGTGAAAAGGAAAGAGGAAACAATGTTTTCGTTCTATAACAGAAGATTTCTGGCTGATGGCATAAAAATGGAGATCGGTGCAGCACCATAGCCTTCATGAATAAAATGGTGCTGCAGATGGCCCTCACTCTTAAAAGTGTTAGAGAGATAAACATCCCAGCTTTTGCAGACTTTCTCTTTCTTCTGCCTGTGAAAAATGTGGCATGTTTATATTGTTGTTCACGTTTGCAGCATTTAGATCGAACCGGCAGCTTCGTGTATGATGTAAGAATCGACTGTGACGGATTTCAACTGTCTGATGTACGTGAGTGACATTCGGAAAGGCTCTTATTCATATTTGTGTTCGGTAAATCGGTTTTGTAGCAAGACTTGCGTATTCTGAGTTTGATGCCCCTGCAGCAACTCCGAAGCCAACGGCTGATGTTCGAACGGCTTGAGGTCAGCTTGGACGTCGCTAAACAATTATTCAAACATAACGAGTAAGATGTTTGTACTTTGGGGTCTGAGCCGCGCAGCTCTTGGCTTTGGTCTTCAGGTTCAAATTTCAACAGCTTCCGTCCATTGAGCGGAGTTCGTTGACAGAGGACGGTCGAATTCCGTTGTACCGGTTCGGAGACCACATTGACGTCAGTCGCGGGCCAATGGTGTCGCATACTCAACAACTCGGATACTACGAGATCTGTTCGGTATCGATTTTACATCGGGCAAGTGACGCAGGGGTGACATTTACTCCTCTACAGTATTCCGCCGAAGATACGGACGATTTTGGCCAGCTTTATCGGTTTCAGGGCGTTTCAGTGCCGTACACGCAACGTATAAACTCGTGGACATGGGAAGTATTGAAACGTTTTTCGAAAAGGAAGGTAGTAGATGAAAAACCAGCATTATTTTCCAAATAACGTCAGAACTTTCTAGAACTCGATGCCTCTGCCGTCGCTGCAGCGATACGCGACGAACGCCTCATCAGACGCCGCTGGCAAAAATGTATCCGCTGCTGTTTCATCGCTCCCGAATAACTATTGATCAAAGGTGGCATAAAATTCGATAAGCAAACAGCGATACCACTATATACTCGACTCAACGTTGCATTTCGTAGTACTGGTTGCTGGCCACAAGCAATGAGTTTTTATTGTAATCATGTGTAGATTCATGATCATCTAATGAAGATGTGCGGTTGCTCCGAGATGGACGGTGTATGTACGATAATTATCTTTAAAAAATTGGAGTTTTCGCACCTCTGCATTTTTTTTCATTGCCAGAAAAGCACACTGGCTGAGCAGGTTCTTCAAAGAGTTATTAATCATTCAGTTCTCTCGTGATAGATGGTTAACCTCATCCTTTAGCAGACTAATACCTGGCAGTGACAGGCGCGATCGAAGGCACATCAGCAACCGTAACTGGCAGTCTGTACTCTACCCGAGCAGACGTTTTGGAAGCCTGAATGTTAGCTGCTTGAACATCACTAAGCCTCTTGCTTTCCAATGCAAACAAGAAATTAGCGCTATTTAAGGAACGAATGAACAATAGTAAGATAATTCAATGGT